CCAAAAGTCTCTGTCTCTGGCCAGTGCTGCCCCAGCGACCAAAAGTTTATCTGCAGAGTTTTACCCGCCCAGCCTAGGTGGAAACGGGGGGGTAGGTACACACAGGGTGTTAAGGGGTACCTTACATGGTCCAGGGCTGACTGCCCCACCACTCTGTGGAGTTCTACTGCAGCCTTCACCACGAACAGCTCCGCTCTACCAGCCGCTCCTCCAGCTGTCCCCACAAACTGCTCTGCTCACTGTTCCGTGGGCCGCTCCAACCATCTCAAACTGCTCTACTCTGCCAGCCACTTAACAATATATCTTCAGGCTCCCCCACTAGTTAACACAGCACTCAGTGATCTCAGCTCAGTAATTTTAGCTCTTTTAGTGATTTCAGGTTGTGGTAGGGGAGCCCCAGTGCTGGTGCACCATTGGTCCAAAGTGAATTCAGCTCAGCAGTCTCTAGCTAGACTCTTAACGGAATCAAAATTAGCTCTGCTATTCAACAGTGAAGAGAGAAGATGGTGCAATTGGTGTTCCAGGCCCTCAAAAGGGGTCCATATCACCAAGTACACATACCTCTCTCCATTCACTGGGTTTTGGACCATGTCCCTTGTCTAGTGAGTGCTACTTAGCTGATGGTGAGACTCTCTGTCATAAAATAGTTTCATTGTCCTTATTCACATAATCAGGGTAACACCACTTTATTCCTCCTGCCCCAATAACAGAGAAACTGGGGATCCCACAGCTGCCAAAGTGACCATTTTGGGCTGCCATGGGCTCATGCTAGGCGAGGTGGGTGTACCTATGCAAACAAGATCAGCCCCTGAAGTTCTTTTCCACACTCACCATAATTCACCAGCAGATGTCAGGGTAGAGCTCATCCTGACTCTGCTTACATTATAGTGGAGTATTTTTTAACCTACTAAAGTTAAAGACTTTTTTTAGACAAATTTCCATTTTAAAGGTTTGTCATGGAAAAAGCAGCTTTTACTTGTAAAGTGAGCAAACTTTCTCTGGAAATCATTGTGAATAGAGCTGGCTGAAAATGTAGTAATGAAAGTTTTTTTCTTTCATTCCAAGCTTTTCACAAAGCTTCTTTTTCTATGACAAACCTTTAAAATGGAAATTTGTCTAAAAAAAGTCTTTACATTTAGTAGGTTAAAAATACTCCACTATAATGAAAGCAGAGTCAGGATGAGCTCTACCCTGACATCTGCTGGTGAATTATGGTGAGTGTGGAAAAGAACTTCAGGGGCTGATCTTGTTTGCATAGGTACACCCACCTCACCTAGCATGAGCCCATGGCAGCCCAAAATGGTCACTTTGGCAGCTGTGGGATCCCCAGTTTCTCTGTTATTGGGGCAGGAGGAATAAAGTGTTGTTACCCTGATTATGTGAATAAGGACAATGAAACTATTTTATGACAGAGAGTCTCACCATCAGCTAAGTAGCACTCGCTAGACAAGGGACATGGTCCAAAACCCAGTGAATGGAAAGAGGTATGTGTACTTGGTGGTATGGACCCCTTTTGAGGGCCTGGAACACCAATTGCACCATCTTCTCTCTTCATTGTTGAATAGCAGAGCTAATTTTGATTCCATTAAGAGTCTAGCTAGAGACTGCTGAGCTGAATTCACTGTGGACCAATGGTGCACCAGCACTGGGGCTCCCCTACCACAACCTGAAATCACTAAAAGAGCTAAAATTACTGAGCTGAGATTACTGAGTGCTGTGTTAACTAGTGGGGGAGCCTGAAGATA